TGCAAACAATCTGATTCTATTCACACACTAAGTTTTAAATTGATTTTTATCCCTGGTTCATTTTATTTTTCTGTAGCAGCACTCCTCACTGCAAAGACAGTACAACCTATTATAAGCTCCTTGGAACAGGCTGTGCCAGTGCTGAAGTTAGTGGTAATTTTAAAACAAATTTTAATTTGATTTTATATTTAATAATCTGAGTAATAAATATTCAAAGTGATTAAATGTTTTAGAATTGTAGCATCATTAAGGTTGGAACAGACAGACCTGTGAGATCATCAAATCCAACCATTAACCCAGCACCACCATGTTTACCACTAAACCAGGTCCCCAAGTGTCACATTCATGTGCCATTTTAACACCACTTTTCTGAGCAGTCTACTCCAATGTCTGGATACAAACATGAAGACATAGTAGATGTTTCACTATTAACCATGAATTCCTGAAAAAAAGATGATATGACAACAAGATGCTCATTTGACCCCGAGTAGCTCCGGAAAAACTGGCTCATAGGAGCACAGTTAACCTATTTCATGCCTGACAGTCTGCTTTCATAGTTTTATACTGAACATACAGATAGCTGTGTTTCACAGCACTCTTCATGGCATCACAGAAAATTCCTACTTAATCACTGGATCACTCGTTAGTAATTAGTTAATTGCAGGACTGAAAGTACTCGTGCTCTGACATAAAAACTACCAAAACACAGTAACTCATCTTAAGACTATTACTTGGAAATCTTTAATTCCCAAACCCTTTGGGAATTAAAAACTCATACAAAACTAGTCTTACTGATTAATTTGAAAGCAAGGTGAAATAAAAAGGTGACTATAAGCTTAGGATTTAGGCGAAGTTTCTGTTAAAGCTTAAGTGTATCTGACAAGGAAAACCATAGTCTTGGAGTAGAGAAAGTGATAGACAACAAGAAGTCTAACTCATGTATTCTTAACAGTGATCGCTGATACCATTTAATTGAGATTTTTCTGTCCCTTTTCCTTTCCCTTCCCTCCCCTGCCCTGCCCTTTCCTTCCTCAGAGACTTTGCCCTTTATCACAGTATTCCCATGAGATATACTACGGATATTTTATTACTAGCTAAAAAAAAAAAATAATAAAATCTCTACACAAGTGCAAGTGGTAATTCCATAATGGTTATTTTAAGGATACCCATTTTATAGGGGTTTCTCTTCATGTCACTGTGTGAGGCAAAGGGCAACAGAATGCAGCCGTTCTTGCTCGCTGCACAATTTATGACCCTGCAGCCAGCAGAAACACATCACAGCTTAGTAACAATCAAAAAGAAAGAAGAAAAAAAGAATCAATAAACTGAAAATAACTTAAGGATCAGAGATGAGAAGCAACTGAACCTGATGGCCTACTGCGATTCCATAACTAAAGAGCTAATTCAGATGGTGGATTTATAAGTAAAAAACTACCATCTAACTACAGGGACTTGATTTTACCATTGGCAGCAGTAAGACGTAAACTTGGCTACTTTGTACAGTTCAGATGTCCCTCATTTTAAAAGAATTTTGGGAACTTTGAATGATTGTAGGGAAGGACAACAAAAATTATTTAAGGACTAACAGTTGCAACCCTAGAGCTACTTAGCTTTTCAGAGTGTAGTTTGAAAGGTGATTATAGCATTTAGCTCTCAAGAGAAGTGATAGACTCTTAATTTTTTGTTGTTGCCAAATCATACCTTGATGCCTTCCCTTCTGAACAATTTATTTTACACCAATATGTTTTAGACCAATACATGTTTTTGGGCCCAGGAGACAAGAAAGTGAGTGCAAATTGATGTAATAGATTGTGCTACATTTTATGGTGGCTGCTACTAATCTAAATGTTTCCAAATCTTAGGAAATAATACAGTTAATAAGATAAAATACAGCCATGAGAGTAAGAAAAGTTAAAAACTACTGCAGTATTCACTGTTTTTCTGTATGTTAGATACAGATGGAGTACACGGTGACTGATCTTGTAGTAATAACATATCCAGCACTGCTGCATCTCGAGAAATCATTATATCCAAATTTAAAGCATTTAATTATTAAGCCTAAATTTTGACAATAGATTCAGGTACATCAGGTCTATTTTTTATAGATAGTTGATTAAGGTCTCCTTAAATGTCACTGAAATCAACCTGTTAGTTCAATAGTTTCTCATTCAAAGTTTCTGCCTCTCTTCTACTTGGCAATAGTTTAAAACAAAAAGAGAATAACACTAGTGAAAATCAGTCTGAAAGAAAAAATGGGTAATAGTATTTTCATTAAAAAACCATCTTTGCTACACAACTTCGAAGGAAAAACTGTAAAATGTTGCTCTGTAACCAACAACTGTCCTCACCATGACATAATGGAGCAGTAAATCACCAGAACAAGGCAGCAGACTTTAAGGTTTGGGTTTTTTTGGTAAACTGTTTATTCTTTTCTTCTGAGACCATGCCACATACTCAGGGTAGTTTGTAATATTAATGGAAAAATTAATATTATATTGGGTGGTGGAACCAGTATTTTCTCCACTACACTGGGCTATATATTCCTAAATAGTTGAGCCCAGTTGCATGTCCTAGATTTGAGTTACAGGTGCATGTCTCACTCATGTCCTTACTCAACTTTGAGGCATGACTGAAACACACAGTTTCCTGTCACCATATGCAGGACATAAGGAAGAAAAGGCTGAGGGGTAACAGCAGAGAGCTGGCCAAGTGCTCAGTCCATCCCCACATACTACAATACTTATGTATCCAGTGTGACATAAAATGCATTTGAGAAGGCCACAGGTGTTGAATAAGTGAATTCATCAGTAAGATCCATTCATGGTTTCCAATAACTAAGTTGAAAAATAAAAGATCAGAAAAGCATTCCTGCTAACTGTGCAGCCAAATAGTTTTAGAATTTCGGAGATGTGAAAAGAAAAACTGTTTCTTAAGCTGTTTTCTTTTTTTTTTTTTTTTAAATCTGCAGTAATCTTGCATCTCATTTTCTCTTGAGTAGAGCCACCAAGAAGCACAAGTAATCATCATTCATAGTTCATAAAATCTATCTCTGTTATGAAAGACTTCCACATGCTTGTTCTGATTCCTCCTGAGATACTGGCAGCAGACAAAATTATCACTTCTTCTCTTTCATTTGAACTCCTTAAAATTAAATCAAGTCACTGTCAGTAATTTCACTGGATTATGTGGGGTTTGTTTTATTCTATTTATTTATTATTTTATATAATGAATTCATTCCTCAAATTCTTTACTCTTTCTATTTAAGAGTTGGAGTTTTGCTTCCAGGCACATTCCCTTCCTCCTTACCTGCAATGTATATAAAGCCTCTGTTCTTGCCAGCCTGCATTAAACACTGCCATACAATTATCCTCAGTCACTGGACTGTTATCTCAGGGAATTGAATTAGACTTCCCAGTTTAGAAACATCAAATTATTTATACAAAATGTTATAGTTGAAACAGATACAGTTTAGAGCATGAAATAGTGGATAGGATAGTAAAGATTAAAAAGATCAGGTCACTGATTTAAAACAGAACTAAAAGTTGAATATGATCCTGAGGGTACTCGTTTAGAGTCATATCAAGCAGGTTATTGCCTATTCAGAAGCATGGAAAATCAGTTTTTCTTTTAGCTTTGTCTCTAAGTTGCAGCTGTAAAAGTCTCCTCAAGAGAGGTTTGTCTTGGACCAATAGCAGTTCTATGGGAATTTCACTGTCAGTTTTTTGCAAGTACAGGTTATTAGAACTTTTGGTTAAGAAATATGAAACAGCTTTAGATGGATGTTCAAAAACACCCCAGATAAGTCACTTCTGTTTTGATACCTTGAACATTGGGATTTCCTACAGGGGCAGAAAGGGAAGCATTCAGTAAATCACAGAATCAGTTCTTTTCCTGAAAAAGGTGCAATATATTTCATTTCTCACTCAACACAAACCAAAACCCTCTGAGATTTTCTTGCAGAAAAGACTACCTTAATTTGCTTGTTGCCCTTATAGCTGAAACACAAAATTATCAGTTAGCATGTCCTATGCATTTTAAATGGATATAGTTTTTTATTTAAGATTACTCCGGCAAGAGTATGTCAATACATTTTTCATCCATAAAAGCTTTTTGATATATAGTCCTGACTGTTCTAGGCGTAACCTGATTACAGTTTAAATTTTCTTGATATATCTGGATTTTACTTGCATCACCACTCTAAATTGTGACAAGAAATCAACATGGAACAACACTCAAAGACATTGCCATAGAAAAATATCCCCCAATAGACTTACGAGTTTTCCATTGGTACTTACCCCATAACTAGATGTTATTTCTTACCTCCACCCTCCAACATATTCCCATCTGTGCCCATTCACCTCTCACTCCCCTCACCATGAAAGTCTCCCTGTTAAACATGATGAAAGCCGTTGCACCAACCCTCCCTCATGTCTGAATTTTGAGGGTCAGTTGCTTTTTATGTGCACCTCAAACGCGTGCAGTTTTAAAGCCGTTTCTCACTAAGGGCAGCTTGTGCTACATTTGAGGTTGAGCCAAGAGAGATCCCCTCTCCCTGGGATCCCTGAGCAGTTTCAGGCCCCCTCCCGTGTCTGCCTCCCACGGGAATGTTGAGCACCCACGGGTCGGGGGGGCCCTAAGCCAAACTTGCTCCCACTGGCATCACTGCAAAACTTGGCTGAATTCAGTATGATGGAAATGAGCCCAAAGGATGAAAATATCAAGATAATGCTGTGGAATGCTGTTGCTGACTAGTTTCATTTGAATTTAAAGTGAGGAAAGGATGAAAGGAAAGAAAAAAGTTGGTAAGAGTTATAAGATGCTATGTTCTGCATTCCCAGTACAAGAAAGTTTTCACTTCCTTGCCAGAAAGAACTGTAGTGTCTCTTGTCATTGCTCTTTTTTATTATTTAAATTAAAGTAATTTCTGAAAAACATTTCTTCCCTTTTCCCCCTTATACATACTATAGTATAAAAAGGTAGAGATAAGTATAAAATCCAACCTTTATTCCACTTTGTACAAGCTTGTGTATATCCAAAAAAGGTTCCTTGATTATGTCTCCTTCGGGAGTGAAAATCTTCACATATCCTTCTTTCTCTAGAATGAAGAGGCGATGGGATCCATCCCCACAATGTACTGCTCCAACAGGCTGCCTTAGTCCACTCACAACCTCCTGAATGCAGAAGCAGTTGTGCTTGTGTTTTCTAAAGAAATTCAAAGAAAACATGAGACATTTCTTCTTTTTTGTAACTGCGACACAACAATGTCCCTAAAAAGTTTATAGTAAAGGTACTTTTATATATTTAAATATATAATCATATATCCAGAATAAATGAAGGTATGGAAGCATGTAATACTGAGAACCAGTCTGAACTCCACTTGAGCAAAATTTGGTCTGTATACAAGAAAGAGAAAATTAAATAAACTTAAATCCAATATGCTGAAGAATAGGAGAGAAAAAAAATGGTAAAAGAAGAGGATAATTTAGAAATACAGAATTTCCACCATAAAATAAACACAGTAAACTTCACCACTTTGACAAATTTGGCTTCTAAACCCCATTTAAAAATAATGACTTACAATGGAATAATCTAATTATTTTCATGAAGAAAAATACATTAATGAAATAAATTGAAGATAATGAAATGAATATTTTACTAATAAACTTATTGTAGTTGTTTACAATAAAGTCAAGCAATATTACATTCAGGTAGAAATTACTTCCCAGAACTGTGTATGATCCACAGGCTGGACGATAACCAAGATCCACAGGGTGGATCAAACCAGGATTCTAACACCTTTCCAGCAAGGCAAATATCAAATAGTACTGAAATGTTGAAGTTAATGTAACTTTCTCTTTTGATATACAGTAGCAGCAGCAAAAGCAAGTCACATCTGGAAAACACAGCTGCTGAACATAAGGACATACTGAGCTGTTTCACCGTGAAAACCACAGGCTTTGCTAGGGTTGGGATTTTTTTTTTCAGATTAAACAGCATTTATCTTTATGAACCTGCTGATCTCTTCCTCTTTGTCATATTCTTCCATGTGGTCCAGGGAGTTAGAGGCTGGCCCTCGCACTTGTTTTCTTAGAAAATCTGGAAAGCACACGCCACCATCTTTTCTTGAATAGTAATAACAAAACTCATCAGCTGTAGTTTGGAGAAAACCTTAAAAATGCAAAAGAGCAAACAAATATTTAGTGTGTTGTCATGTCTGCAGTTTAGCATCATCAAACTCATCTTTAAATAGATTACAGTGGAAAAAGCGGTCATTTTAAACAAAGCACTATCTGTAAAAAAAAGGCCTGCTCCGAATAAACACAGACTGAGTATTACCTTTTCCAGTGTATTCGTCTTTATTTGCATTAAACCTGATTTTCAGTGCACTTATGTGAAAATACCAATTCATTCAAAGTGACACAACAATTCACTCACTAAAAAATTAAGAGACAAAGCTCAGAGTTGAGGCTATGATACACTTCTTCCTGATTTTAACCTATCAATCAACTGTAGGATCTGCAGTAAAATAGCTTGAGTAGCTTCTATGTAACTTTTTTTTTTTTAAGTGGCTTGTTGTAGTCAAAATCTCAGTAAAGACTTGAGTAAAAGGCATGAAGTAAAGACTGTGGAGTACTGCCAGCAAAGGGCACCGGTTGGAGAGGTGAATAATCACCGATCAGGTAAATCTCAGAAAGCCAGAAGTGCTGCTGAAAACTGCACTGTGTTGACATGCAGTTGGCCTCTGACTGACTCCCAGCATTGAGGCAGGTGAGCAGTGTCCCATCATGAGGTCTAGTTCCTCAGGTCCCAAAAAGGGGATATGCCTCATGCTGCACCGGACGTAGCTTGTATGAAAAGTGGTCTTTAGCTTTCAGGTTAAAATGGGAACGAGTTCAAAGGCCCAGATAAACAAGAAGATGGTAAAATGAGAGCCTTTGAGGAAAAACTCTGCCACTACTGCTATTACATTATGTTTAATGACATAAAAAGTATCTATTTCTGTTCACAAACCTATTTCTAGTCATTGCTATCCAGTTTTTATCACGAGTATTAAATCTAAGAAGACAGAGTCTGGCTAGTTATACATGTACTGTTTCTAGAACGTGAAGATAATATGTCTTAAGTTGCCTTCATTCTTTTTTCTATTATTGGCAACTGTCTTAGGATGTACTATGGTCCAGGACATAACTCACAGGATACACAGAATTAGCACTTAATTGGAATTAGAGGCCTAATTTATGCATGGCTCTACCACTTGTGAATAATGCAGTAATCCATAGGTCTTGGCCATAAAACCTCTGGTTTATAATGTACAGCAAGAGCTGATCAGGGACAGCTGTGTTTCATTGGAAAGTGCCAGTTTCTTTTAAGCAAAGCATTTTCAGAAACATTATCAGTTTTGACAAAATTTTAACAATTTCACATGATGTTTCTGGTCCAAACTCAAACTTCTGTTCTAAATGAGAAAGAAACAGCAAACCTCATATCACTATACTCCAATGTCTTGTAATTAGGGTGTTTCATTAGGAAGAGGAATATTCAGGTCAATGCCCCTCATCTGTCAGGCAAGAGTTTGACCCTAAGTCTCCCATTTCCCAAGTAAATGTCCTAACAACAACTTTATTAGCTATCCTGGGGTGGTCTTTCTGTGGCTTTCTTCATGGAAAATTTCGAAAGAGTTCAATTTCTTCCTTATGTGGAATAGGAAAATTTTTTAGATCCCAGAATTTTTGTGGAGTGGAAAGCCGTTCCCACCCAACTATACTTCTTTTCATATACATCTTCCTTTAAAAATATTGGAAAAATAACATGACAAAGCCTACCTTTGGTTTCTATAAAATATTATATATATATATCTGGAAACACATAGTAGTGTGTTGTGGTGTAAAAGTTTAATTACCATGATTTAGAGCTTCAGTAAATTTCATCTCTGAGGAGCTGGTTTTAATTTATAGTAGTTATTTGGAGAAAATGGAAGATATAATTTTAAGTGGAACAACTGAAGAGGAACTCTGATATAATCACGGAGTACTATTCCAAGGCTTGTAGATATAAAGCCAAAATCAAAGGTAATCCAAAATTTTGCTGTTGAAGTATTTGACTTAAGAATACAGGGTTTTGTCTTTAATAATTTATTTCTCTAGGCACAGTGGTTCATTAAAAAAAAATGCAACAGCAAATTAGAGGTGTAAGATTACTAAGAATTTCTAGAATTTTCTAAGTATACCATCTACTATTTACTACTCTTGGCTTGAATGTTTTCTTTAGTCAGGAAAGCTGAGAGCATATTGTGATCATGTTGTTCACTCACTACATGTCCATTTCAAATTACAATCAGATGCAAACTCACTTGACTGGTGCAATGCCTTTTCTTATACGTAAGACTAATCCCATTTCCTTATGAAATATTTTATCATGCACTTTAGTACATGTTGCACTGCAGTTGCCTTTTGCTATTTAGCAAACCCATCAGCAGGTTCCAAGAAAGAATAAGGCTTATGCTCCATTTTCATTAAAAATGTTTGTAAAAAAATGGGGTTAGAATCAAACTGAGAAAAATGTTGCATTACTGGAAGGAATGTAACCTCTGCAAATACAGTTTCACCTGTGTATTAAGGATGGAATGTTGTTATTTTCTTGTATAAAAACTATAGTAACTTACCAAAACAAAAAAAACAATTTGCATGTGTTATATATGCTCAATTTAACATACTAACAGATTCACTAAAGACAGTTAGAGAAACATTTGCTTCTACTCCCTATCTGCTTGTAGCCATTTAATGTCTTCTGTCTTGTGCATAGATTGCAAGGTCTTTAGTGTAGTTTGCCAATTTGTTCAGCATTTGTACACTGTCCAGAAGAATGGTCCCTGACAAGTGCCCCTAAGCAGTAGAACTGTTTGGAGGGGAAAAGAAAAAAAAACCACAACTTTTTGCTCAGTCTGAATTTATTCAAATACAGCTCTGTCACTGTCCTCTGTGAGAACTGTGCCTAATAAGGACTGCAACCCTTGGTCCTGTGTGAATTTCTGTACTTACTACTTTATTTTAAAACTCATACATATTATTACAAATTTCCTACCAGCTGTGTACGTGTTGACAGAGCACTGCCTGTGTTAACAAAGAAAACTGAAATCACAAAGGAAGATTAAACATCATGTTTAAGTGTCAGATGTTGCATAGGCTTGCATTTCTATGCTTTTAAAACTTTCTCTCTTGCAAACAAGAATCAAATGACAGGCTTTTCACTTAAGGCGGTTACAGTGAAGGCTTTCTGTATTCGCCTTTATAAAACACTGTGGGAATAAGTTGCATGATTACAAGCCTTTTCAAAGGAAAACTTCTGCTCTCAGCTGATCTCCACCTCCTCTCTCCACTTGTATTTGCATTCAGTTGTTCCTCACACTGTATCTCCCTTCCTACCCTACCTTCACCAAATTCCACTTTGCTGGATTCCCTGCTTATCCATTCCCTTGCCTCTCTGCTTTGATATACAACTCCAGTGTCCTGGTAGCCCGTGTCCCAATCTCTACAAGTTGAGTTCCTATTCCCTCCCTTCCCTGTTTGCACTGCACACGATTGAGAATCGTCCACATCTGAGTCGACTTACCCCAGCTTTGAGGACATCAGGAAATCAGGCTCACCTGCTCTATTTCTGCTGTGACCTTGAGCACACAGTTCAGTATTGTGTAAAAGAAGCACATTCCTGCTTTGGGTTTACTTTTTTCCTGATTTGCACTTTTGACAGCTAGATGTGAATTTTTTCACAAAAAACCCACATTTGCCTCTCTCTTCTCAACTGCCAGTGAAAACCAAATCAAAGACATGATTCCAGACTGATTGTTTCAAACTGTACTAAGTCCACTGGTAGTTTACATAATTTCCTATTGGTTTTCAAGTGACTAGTGGCCCTTTTCTCATACTCAGATGTTGCACATACCTACACATGGGTTAATCCCCTTGATGCTCTTGTTACCAGTAGCAAAATTGTAAGCCACTACTATTTTTTCTGCAGGTTGACTATGTTGACTGTGACTCATAATCAGTCATGTTAGAACTTCTAGAAGTGGTGTGTGAGTTGTAAGATTTCTTAGAATTCCAGCATTTGGGGGGTGGTGTGCCCCTGTTTGTTGTTAAAAAAATCCTATCAAGCATCTGTTCTTGTAATGCCTGGATTCAGATCAGGGCCTGGATCTGAATTCACCCACAATCATCTGGAACCCATTCCTTCAAATGAAAATAATGGAGACCAGATAGTTCAAAATCTCTCCCATGTCCTTGAATGGCACTGTGGCTGTGGCACAGGTTTGTACCTTTGAATACGCCACTTGCACCGGTGTGGATCAAGTTTCTGCTTATGTCCAAAGGCAGAATCAGCCAGGCCTTTCTTTACTTGCTATATTAATAATAAATATTAGACAGACTTCCCTTATGACCTTGTAAAACTTAAAATTCATATTGTTTGAAGATACTTCATTAAATCACTTAACTCCAGCGTCTCCATCACTAATCACCTAAACTGAGGCTTACAGTAAAGATTAGATGAGAAATAATCACAACAGTTACCTGGAATGAAGCAGGGAAGTTCCAATCTCATAGTCTTTGTGTAACATTACGCTCTCCTGCATTTCCACAGCATCCTAACAGCTATTTTTATTCTGTTTGAATAAAGAATAGGGTCCCCTTTTTCTCTGAATATTCCTAAAGAAGTCAGTGGAAGTTCTGATACAGTCATAACTGGTGGGCAAACTGCTGTTTTCAAAAGAGTTAACCAAGCATCTGCTACAGTTTTCATCTTTGCAAAAACAGAGACAACAATTAAATGAATTTTTGAAGCTAACTCGTGAAAAAAAATGATGTATAATTTCTCAGTCTTGGTTAATGTTTAATGCTAAAATTTCAGTCCCAGAAAAGATGTTTGCTATCTTAAAATGCTAATAATATTTCTCATTTGTGCAGGGCTTAAGGGATAAAATTATTGTTTTAGTCAGCAATTTCCTTAAACTCCGTTGTATTGGTGTTCAGAAACAATTAGCACTCCCTAATGGAGGAAGAGTAATTATTCGACTTTTTAACAAATACACAGTGAATCATTGCCAGAGACCTTGGGCTTGGGGGCCTGTTAATTTTCAACTCTTTGTTTAATCCTCCAGGCTAAGCTGAAAACATAGCTTCCACATTTTCAATTTTTTTTCTTTCTTTCGCAATAAATATTATTATGGATACATGAGTCTCAGAAGCAAAATAGAAACCCCAAATAAATTGTGGCTGTAATTATTTATAATTCAGAATGTATAAGACTATTAAACTCTACTAAAATCCTGTAGGCCATCTTCTCAAAAGGAGGGACCTGAATCTTAATTATTACCTTCGGGAAATCCTAGAATAGGTATCAGCACCTGTATGTACCAGTCAAGTCACCAAATTAACCCTGTTGGTGGATGTAAGTATGCAACAACTTTTTGTTAGTACAACCCACTTTCAGAACAAGTATTTAGAACGATTATTAGCATCTGATTGATGTAGGAAAAATCCTATTTTAACTGATGCTGAAGTATGTAAGCTCTTTTCCTGCAAAGCACAGTGCTCTGCCCAGTGCTAAAGTTATGCTTTCATCTGGTTATCTTTCAAGGCAACCTGGGTGGTCACAAAAAGCACTTGACATCTTGATGCACTTCAGCAGTTTTACATATACACAAACTTTGTAGAAAAATAAATTTGTCATTCTTCACCACATATGTTGATCTGAGGAGCGACGTTCCTGTGGCTACAGCTCCTGTGCTGCTCAGCCCTTTCTCATTCTCTCTCCCTCCCTCCACCTCCTCCTTCTTTCTCCCTTTTCCCTCTTTCACTTTTTTCAATTAAACAAATTGTTTCCCCATAAACCCACAACTTCATAAAACAACTAGGAGGGTCTTGCTCTGCAGAATATGATAAGCATTTGCACTAGATACAAACTCATGTCAAAAATGTCTCTGTGTGGACTTCTTATATGGGCTAAACATTTAGAATATCTAATCTGTTATCACTGTTCAGCAGGCAGTCTTGGCAACTATGATCTATTCTGCTTTGCTTTGGGGAACGTGATAAAGAGCAAGAAACAGCTGGTTTAAGAAAGCCTTAGAAACATCTCTTAGTTTATAAAGACAATAATAATATTTTCATATTTGAATGGGTTGAGATACATGTTAAACCACAGTAAAGGGAAAATGTAAGTCAATTTAAAATGTTTTCTCAAGTCAATAAAAGAACACTGAAAAAAAACTCCTGTGCTTTTGGGATTTCAGAGAAAACAGGTACACACTGTACACATGCAATTAAAAAACTCTCCTCCAAATCCTATCCACTTAAACTATCCCTTTTCTCAAATATGTTTATATTATATACACAGAGCTGTGTTCATATGTAAAAAATGACTATTCACAAATTCATTTTTCATCTCATTATCAACTCTTTTTTCTAGTCTGTGTAGCTAGTAAAAAAAAAAAATCCCAATCAATTTAATTATTTTCTCCTGTGTGGCATTGTTTGTAAGTAGTGTTTGGACAGGAAAAAAAGCATAGTTTAAAAATGACAGTCTTACACATATAAATAATTTACTATTGAGAATACCAAAGATGTTATTTAACATAATAGTGTTTTAAGACACCGTTTCTAAAAGAACCATCTTCTGCGGTTATTTTGTTGATACATGACAAGTGATAACACACATTTGGTGACTGCCTTAGACAACGCAGGGCAAATTCTGCTTTTGATTATGTCCAGCTAACTCTACTGACTACAGTGAGGAAGTGTTAGGTTAGTTAAGAATTTGGTCATTAACAGCACTTTGGAAGTAATTCAAAGATCACAGAAGTGTATCAAATAGCTCCCTTTGATTTCAATGGGTTTTAAACCCTGTGGAAAAAAACATCAGTTTCTAGGGCAACAAAACCAGAAAAAACACTTTACTCATCAGCTTTTAGAGTTTAAAACAAACAGCCAGGACCTTTTATTTCTTGCATTTTAGAACAATCTATTGTTTAGAATAGCCTTTTGGATGGCCAGCTGCTTGTTTGCATGATTTGAATTTACACGTAAATATTTCAGCCACGATATAAGTTTGAGGTGCGTTTGACAACAATCAAGCCACGAGTGTAACAGGAGGGTGGCAAGAAAGTACTCTAAATATTTACCTCCTTACATAAGATCCACTCTGAAGACTGAAACATTCTGTCTTTGCTTGGGAAAAATCCCCTGAATATAAATGGCAATTTTTTCCCAGTTAAAAGCTGGATCTGTAACTGCTCAGGCAATATCAACATATTAAAACAGACATCTTTTAGCCCCGTATTTTGTTATAGGTTTTACCTGGTATGTGACCTCTGCAAGTATAATAGAATTCTTTACAATAGTCTTTGCACAAGTAGGGAAGAGTTAGTTCTCTTTCAGCAGTGTCCCCTTTCTCAGGTGAGTGGAATAGGTTCTGAGCGTGAGGTGAGCAGTGTGCACATTTGATTTCCTCCAGTAGCTTCGCACATTCTGTGTTGTTCGTAACAGAAAGTATCTGCAAGCCACAAACCAGAGACAAATAAACATATGACCTGTTTCCCCATCTTACACAATGAAAGATTGCATGATCTGATGCAGTAAACAATGCTAATGGGACAAATAGAGTTAGTATCAAAGCATCATGTTTCAAGTGAAAAAGTTATTACTATGAAATGTGCAATATGTCATTAGTATGGTGAGATTTTAGTTTCTCTGATTTCTTACATACGATTCTATAAGAATCTTCTATAAGAGTCTTTAAGATTTCTTTTCTGAGCTTGCTTCTCAGATAAGAATAATAGCACTCAAGTTATTTTAAAGACTCATGCCTGCCATCTCTTAATCACATAGGCAAACTCTTAACTAGAGGGATTATGTATATAAGGAGGAGTTACAGCAGCATGCCTTCTATCCACTTCTCTTATGAGGTGTTTAGAGGCGAAAAATTAAAGTTCTACCATCAAAACACATCAGGAAAAACATGTCTAGGTATGTGTAAAATACGTGTATCTTGAACGACACCACTGCCTGGCTACTGAAATGACTGCTGTGGAATTTGAGCAGGTGCCGTGGATTTTTCATGCTTCAAATGCTGTTCTGCTTTTTGCTCTCTCTAGTGCAAACTACTTGTAGGCAGGAAAACCTGTGTGTTTTCAGGCATATCTTTCTGTAGGTGAAAAGGTAGAATTTGTAGCATCTCGTTTGCATCAATATTGAATCTGTAACTTTGTCCTGAAAAAAAAGAGCATATATTATGTGTGCATAGCACTTGACGAAGCATGAAACCTCGACGGAAGATGTGTTTGAGTAAACACAGGAGCCCAAGGAGTGTAATGTCATCAAATCATGAAAAATAATGGAAAACAGCATAGTTGTCTTTATTAGCTTCTGAATGCAGTGCACTTTGTTAATCTATTGTTAACCACATGGATTGTTTTTTGATCATTCATCCCAATGGTGGGTAGTGGGAAATGTGTTCCCTCTGTTGAGAGTGACTGAATCTGAGCCAATGCAAAAACAAAGCTCAGGTTCTCTCTGGTATTTATTTAACACAATTATAAATAAGGACTGTAAGACACGTTAAGAAATATTAATGTGGTAAATATTTGTGTTCTGTAAAATTTGTAAGTATTTTTAAATAGCACATTTGAAAACACTGCTAGTTTTGCTATAGCTCATATCTCTGAGTTGATTTGTAGAAGGACTTTCCAAATGTCATTCCCTTGCAACATAACATTAAAAGGGAATTATCTAACTGACTTTTGAAAAAGTAAGTTATTCAATGCAGGAAGACTCCTGATATTTTGAGTGTGCTGTCTCATACACCTGTTCTCTTCGTGGATGCTGTACTTTGATAACACAGTTCTGAACTCATCTTTTTATTTACAGATCATAACGCCATGAATTTCAAAAGTTTGAGAGAAATGCACTTTCCGTTGTTTTCAACAGATAGTTATTCAAAATATTACACAATATATGGCCTGTACATTTAAACAAAATCCTGTTTAAAGTAACCTTGATTTAGAAAGCAAACTCTTCCCAGGAAAATTTAGTCTTACCATACATATATTGCCAAAAGGCCATCTGAAATGTGTACTAAAGTTTAATGTTGTAAGTTGGGACCCTGATTAGAAGAACACCATTTGGCTTCTATCCTTATTCTGGATATGCTGCCACTGGCATCAAAAAGAATTCCTCCAGATTTGCCAGGATCACTGAATGCATTAAATGTTCTGTTCTTGAGACTATCTGTTCTCACACTATCCTCAGCTTCATAGCACCTGCCATTCAGTAATGTGATTAACATCTGCCCCACATATTGTTTATTATCTGTCTTCAGACACTTCTTGAGAATATAACTGTCTCACATATTTTGGAAAGGGTTTGCCTTCTCTCTCTCTAATGATAACTACAATAAATTATAATCAAAATATATAGCAACTAAAACTTTGAGCTTTGCTTAATACTGCCTAGGACTGCAGTCCAGGTAGGAAAGAACAGACTTGACATGCTTGCAGTAATCCATGCTGCTGAGGTAATCTTCTGCATGAGCTGGACTTTATTAAGGGAGGCTGTGATTCTGATGGGAAGGGGCCTGTAAAAGTCAGTCAGGTCATTGTTTGCCAAATAGAACAAAGTCTGAAGCCAATAGGGGATGACTAAAAGCACTATCTATAAATGTATGTCACTTCTCTCCTGAAGGAAGGATGAAATGACCCATTTGGGTGTTTCCACCAAAGGAAACTGCATCACGAGTACAGTCTCATATATTTTCATCAGGGAGTTCATCTCAGGCAGTAGGCTTCCTTGTGGTAGCAGTATGATGGTGTGTTTAGAAGTACAAGTAAACACAAGGTATTACTAGGTAAATATTCAGTGTGCTTATTGAATTAACTCCACAGTGATGCAGATAGAAAACTGTACTTCTACTGGAAGACTCCAGAACACATTGTGTAGGAGGAAGGGGGAAGGGAGAAATAAATTACAGGATAGTAAAGCTAATTTACTGGTTTTTGTGGAAAACGTAATTGACGTTGCCTGATGATACAGGCTTGCTAACATTTCAGTCCTCAAAGTTAAGACAAAAGGATCCTAATCCCCCTGAGCAGCTGCTATCCAGGAATTAACCACAGGAATTCACCCCCTCATGTAATTTCTGGAATGAATCTTGGTCATATAATAGCAAATCGGAAGATTAAGGAAAGAGAGCCAATCAATTATCTGGAAATCAAGTACAAAGTTACTTAACTTTTAGAATGCTCAAGCAAAATAGGGTGGTAATATTTGCTCTGTGTGAGGTCTGATGTGTAACTCTGTCCTGGCTTGGAGATAGGACAACCTCTCTATTCTGAATTTCAGTAAATCAATAATGTATTTATCCTGGAGTATATTAAAACAGTTTTAAGCAAATTCTGAAATACTTATTTAAATTAAGCTTTTTGGATGTCTACTTTGAAAGTGACCTTAAAGTTGACAATGGTTTTGGTCTTTTGAAGAACTGTAAACTAATTTCCTTCTTCAATTTTTAAAGTCGTATGAGAAACCATCAAACTGCAGTGGTTTAAACTAACTGTGCTCTGGAAAATATGTAAAACTTCCAAACGTTTATTGCAACATGCCTAATAATGATCATGCCTGCTGCTGACTAATTTACAACATCTGTAAGATCACCCTTTAATCTCTAGCCACATGAAAGTAAAATGGGTAGACTAAAGGTAAGATAAATCCTGGAATGCACAGGAAAGCATAGCATACTAAAATGGTTTATCAACAGAAGGAGGAGTGCAAAGAAGAAACAGAAGATGATACAACAGACAGAAAACCTTTTTGATTAATATTGTCATCTGTTTTGGGTACTCTGTCATATCTAGTTTGAGAAAGGCAGTATAATTTTGATGCTAACAGAAGAAAAAAACCAGTTAAATAAGTCATTGCATTAAGCCATATTTGATATACAAGCATTTATGTCTAAAAATCATGTGCTGACGAGATTGTTCAGCTGTTGAGTTGAACATATGCCTCTTCTGTATTATAGTGCTGGATTATGTCATTAAAGAGTTCGGTTTCAATTTTAGGGTAATATTTAAATAGATCATTGTACTAAGGCAGCTGTTAAAGGGACCCCAAGATGAGTTATTTGTTTAGTTGGATGTGTTCAACAATAGCCTTTGTTCATGAAAGAGCCAGAGCAAACAAATGATTGTAAAAGGGCACACTTGAAAACAATATCTTTTCACCCATTCCTTGACAGCCTTGGCTGTGAAACCATCCAAGGTAGAGAGGACTTCTTTGCCTGTCAGGTTGCAAGCAAACTTTTAGAAAAACTGATATTACAATGTTTGACTGGGAAGTAGTAGCCCTTCAAAAACAAGGGGATATTGCAGGAAAAAAAAAGACAGAGTTAAATGTCAACAGGATACAAATATTGTACTTGAGCCAGGGCAATGTTGTCTCTGCTTATTACAGAAGTTCCATTTTTCTTCCCAAAGCTGCAGGCACTGGTGGTGTTTTCATTATAAGCATAGATCAACACTTTGATCAAGAATTCTCAAAGACCCAGCATCTTTGGGAAGAAGCTCTTATNTTTTTCTTTCTCTTTTTCTCAGCTAGATCTTTCAGGTTATCTGTGTGTGGTTAGTTTATAGTTTAATTCAATTATCACACAGGAGCTAAATGACATTGTCTCTAGACAACACGAAGAAATATATCTGCCTTGAATCTCAAACTGCTGCTGCATATGGTATGAATAAAGAGAGATCTGCAGCTGAAAACCTGCAGTAAGACAGTTCTCACTCATCTGGGAATAGAGGGGGTAGGACAAATGCTCCCTCAAAAGGCATGAACATTTGGACAGAGCTGGGGACTGAAGGAGAATGATGTTCTCCAGTTTCACCCATTAGTGAACCAACTAACAAACACAATGGTGTTGTTGTTATTCTTTTGCCATAAGCAACAGGACTCTGTGTGTGGGCAGCAGTTTAGTGGGGAGGAGGATAAGTCGACCCCTTTTTGTCCTATTGATTTTTTCCTATTTGCATGACTTGAGCAAATTAAATGATGCAATATGGCTTTTTGTTACAAAACAAAGTGAGAGATACCACCCAGACACATATGTTGATTCGTAGAAGCTGTTTACATGAGAATGGAGTGAAATCTACCGTGAACTGAGCATAAAAATTCGATTCAGGCTGGGTATTTTTTTTTATTATGCTTGGGCCAGCAAGACTGAAACACAAGTTTTCCAAGAGTCTCTCAGACCTTGACAACTACAGAGTTGTAACTGAGGAATTCTTAATTAAACCTAAATCAGGATGAAATAGGGGGAAGAAAGAAAGAAAGAAAGAAAAGGAATAATAATAATTAAAAAAAAAGACACTTGATTATTTATTTCACGTGCAGTGACTCTTAATGACATTATTCTGCAACTTCCCTCCCTGTGCGTACCCCTGGATGGAGCACTGGCTATCACAGCAGAGCTTATCAAACACAGTTCTGCCGGATTAGGTACCCACGCGTCTGAAAACCTAAGCAACAGGCTGATAAGCAGAATTTAACTTGCTAAGGGATGCAGAAAACTTGACGATTTTAAGAAACTGGTGAGCAGAGGAGGTGCTTCCCTTCACATGACCGTAGCCTGAAACTGGGCAGAGGCTGCCAGGTAATGTGAAAAGGCAAAGTGTCTCACGGCCCCTGGTGCGAGGCACCGGTCCTGAGCGAGAGCCGTGAGACCGGGGTCCTGCAGCGGAGACTTCGGGGGTCTTTCGCCGCTGGTACCTGTGAGTAGCACCCAGGCCCGAGGCGGCTGGAGATCACGGAGTGTTGCTACCCCGGCACCAGCCTCAATCCAAAACCCCTCCTAACTTTGTTCCTGCGGAGCAAACTGGACACGATTCTTCACCCCAGAAAAAAAAAGGCAAGCTGGACGGCACTGCCGGGCGAAGGCAGAGCCCCCTCCGCTGCCTCTGCCGCTGCCCGGGCAGCTGTCGGAGCCCGCCCGGTTCCTCCTGCCCTTCCCCGAAGCCGCGCCCGGGCAGCAGTACCTGCGGGCAGCCCGGCCCCGCTGCACCGGGACGGGGCCGGGGCTACCGCCAGAAACTCCGGCGCTGCGGACAAGAAGTAACTCGCAGGCAGAGCCGCCGACCGGCACTGTGCTCCCCCCCGCGCGAGGCGCCCGTCCCCTCCAGGGCGCGGACCTGCCGCGCTCCCCGCGCCTCTTGACGAAGCAGCCCCGCGCCAGGATCACGTCCCTGGCGCGCCCTCGCTCCCCGGGCAGGAACGGTCGCCCCCCGCCACGGCATCGCCCCCACCCGCGTGGGAAACGCGGCAGGTTTGTGGCCGGTGCGTGGCTCCACGCAGAAATAGGGAAGCAACTCCCCAAACCTGCCCCCACCCAAAGCCCAAGCGCAGCCCCAGGTTGTGCCTACCTTCGCCTCGGCGTGCGGCAGCCCCTGCGGCTCGGAGCGGGAGCAGCAGGACAGGCGTGGGTAGAGGCCGCGGCACATCGCCTCCCCGCCGCCCGGGGCCTCCGGGGACAGCACCCGCCGGTCCCGCTTCTTCAGCCGCCGCGGCGGGGTCCCGTTGAGGCACCTTCTCCTCCGGGCGCCACTCTCCCCAAACTTGGCATCCCCCTCGAAGAAGCATAGAACCACGGCCACTAGCAGCAGCTTAAACGGCAGCATCTTGAGCATCATGCCTGAGGGAGCGTGTGAATGCACCCAAACCGGGGGTGAGGGGGGGGGGGGGGGGGGGGGGAGAGAAGGAAGGAGGGGAATCCCACTGACTTTTCTTTGCACTTTAGATCAGGAAACCACCTCCCTCCCACAGAAGGGGAAAGTCTGGAGGAGAATAATAACAGTAGCGGTTAAAAAGCCGACGAAGGAACAGCACCTCGGCCACCCCTCGCTTCTTCCAAAAAGGCGGACGCGAAGAGGCAGGAGCGTGGGACTGAGCCCTCCGAGCCCCCGGTGGGAGGATGCTCGAAGCCGGCGAAGTTGTACGAGCGGCACAGGTTTTAGCAGCTGCCGCTGCCGCGCCGAGGCGCCGAGGCTCAGGGCGGGCCAGGCAGCGGGCGGCGGCAGCAGCAGCCCTTCACTTGTCGTCCCATAGGAAGGGTGTCCCCGCGGCGGGACTGCGGCGGCGGCGGCCGGGCCGGGCGATGCCCCCTCCGCTGCTGCTGCTGCCGGCGGCGGCTGCGGCTCGCTCGGGCTCTCATGTTTCGCTCCCTCTTTTCTTCTTCTTTTTAAGCGGCGCGCGGGGAGGTGCTGCCACCGCGCGCCCTGCACGTCACCCGGCGGCATCCACCGGCCGCGCGTGCCGCCCGCCGGGAAGCGGGAGCGGCGGAGGGGCCGCGCCCGCCGGGAGGGAGCGGCGCGGGGGCGCGGCGGGGGCGCGGGGTAGGCGGCACGCCCAGCCCCGCCGCCGAGATATTCCCCCCCACCCAAAGGGGGGTCCGGCTGCCCCTTCTCCCCCCAGTGGAACGGGAGCTGGGCCTTCCGGAGGGAGGAGGCGGGGGGGGGGCCTTTCCGCTGCCCTGTCTCGGCGGGAACGGGTGGAACCGCGTCGGTGCCCGGTGGAAGGGGAGCGTTTTAGGTGGGTCCTGCGCCCCCGACGGCCGAGGCGCCCGGAGCAGGATTCCCTCGGCGCTCGGCTCTGGGTCTACTCGCCCGTGCCCGCCCATTGCCCCTATAACTCATCCCCGAACGCCAGGGAAGGTTCCAGAGGCATGGGGCCAAGCGGGGGGCGGGCATGGACGGCGGGAGGTGCCCTCAGCTCTCGGTGGCTTTTCCCTGTGGAGCTGCGGAGTCGTTACTACCACTGGAGTTGCCGTGGGTTCTCAGACCCCTCGGCGTCTGGGAGCGCGATGAGCCTCACGGCTTCGTTCTGACCGTTATCACGGTTGGTAATGGCAACATGGAGGCCGTTCCTAAAGGTGGGAGGGAGCCGGATGTGGAGGAGTTAGCATCGTCCTGGTGTGCGGAGATTGAGACACCTGAGTTTGGGAAGAGTGGGATGAGCCGAGCACTTTGCTTGGTGGCAAGAGAGCACCTGCTTGACCAGAAGCTAACCAGAAAGGGAAAGGTCAGCCCAATGTGAGCAGGAGTGAAATGGATTTGGGAAGAAAAAAGATAGAAACCCAGAGAACCTGAGCCCAGGGTAGAGGCCGAGAAGGCTGAGAGGAGGTGCTGCAGAGCCCCACAGGTGGGAAGAGGGAGCTGGAGGAGAGGAAGGAAGGGAGGCCCTGAGAAGCTGCTGATGTGTAAGTGCAGCTACTGCCACTGACTTGGAGGTAAAGGGCAGCTGGATAAATAGAGGTGTATTTAGATGAAAAATTGGCTTGTACCGAAAGCGCCCCCTTAGGAGGGAGAAAGGGAAAGAAATATTTCATGGAGTTCCTGATGTATACTAGCGTTTCTAAACTAACTAGGTCCCGTTCCTGTTCACTCCTCATTTGTTTTTCACCAAACAAAACGAGTGTCTTCATATTTACATTTGAACTCCTAAACAATCCACACTGAACTAAATAGGAGTTTGGCATAGATAAATGGTACACCAGTTAAATTACTGAGAAGACATAAAGACTCTTTCTTCTCAAGTGCATTTTTGAAGGTTAGTGGTTCCTTTAACTCACGATTACCCCTTGTCTTGACTCTCATTTGACTAACAGTGCTCCCAACCAAGGCCCATCTGCGTGAGTGAGGGTGGCCTGTGGTGCAGCTTGGGTCCCAGCCCTCACGTTAATGAGTGAAATAAGAGCGTATTCTGGTGATACAGCATCCTTCTTTGTAGTTTTAGAGAAAAGTACTGCCTTGCAATACATGAACTTGTTCCATGAGCAACCTGACATGGCAGAACTGTAGCAATGTAGTTCTACTACAGCAGCTATGCCTTTTTCATTGCTCTGGGTTATTACATAGATTATTTTAAAATATAAAATATAAATTTTATTATTTTAAAATATAAAATAAAAGTGATTCTGGTATACGTCAGAGTAACTGTATCAGAAAGAGGTCACTTTTATTCCCAAGCAGACTCCTTACGGAGGGTTACTTTGGCAGAACTGTAGTGGCCTGAGGACACAGCTGGAGGTATATATGCTGTATGCCTCTTTCCCTGTGTAGGCAGGTGCTCATACTTTTCAAGCAGGTTGCGTACTGCATCTCCCTTGCTGGAGCGGGAAACTAGAACTTGGTGGAAGGAAGCGAGTGTGGGGCAGATACCCTCTTGAAAAAAACAAATATTCAGGGAAAATGTCTGTTGAGCGGTTGTGGCCTGGTCTTGGCAGTTCCCGTCTCTCTGAAGGAGAGAGGAAGTGAGGAATATAAATCTATATGATCAAAGTAATGCAGCTATTAGTTAATAACTTTTCTTCCTTCTTCCAAGTGCTGCCTGCATAAATAATGGCCAGTCTTTGCGAATGAAGATCTGGGGAAGGTCTTTACACCTTCCAACCTGCGCATTGGATTTTTTAGGTGAGACATGGTGTGTGCGGAACTGAGCCCACCCTTTAATCCTAAGGTTCATCTACCAGGGCCAAGAGAGCTTGGACGGTGGCAGCGAGGTCCTCAGGACGTAGATGGATTGCCTTATGGGCTAACGAGCTCCATCTGCCCGGGGAGTGGCCCTGTCTGGGAATCGAACCCGGGCCTCGGTGGAGACAGCGCCGCGTCCTTAACCACTAGACCGCCAGGGGCTCCCTGCCTGCATAAATATCCGTTTCTATATATACCTGTGTGAGTTCTCAGAGGAGGTGAGTTTGAGGTGTATTAATTAGATAGAGAATGGTTTCCCAAAATAGGGTTTAGATCAAGCTGCCAAACTAAGAAAGAACTGGTAGTTTGTGAGAGTCTGTTTCTACACAGAAATTTTACATAGATCTATGATGGAGACATTTCCCAGAACTTCTGTGAAATGTACTGTTGACCTTCTATAATATAAAGTGCTCAAAACTTCGAGCTCTGTAGTGATAGAGTGATGTAAAGATGTATAAGCAAGACTTGAAGAAGGTTGAATGTTCTTTAAAACCCCTGAATCACAATTGCTCTTTCTTGGGGTTTTGTGCAAGAAGACCTGATTTAATCTCATGTTCCTTTCTACACTTAAAAAGTATATGTTGGATTCTTTTTAAATTTTAAAAATTTTAAAGTACTTTTCTCGAGCTGGTTGATACAGGGTTTTATTTATAAACCTTTTTAATAATGCAAAGTTAGGGTCAGTATTAGTTTATGCCAGTTCAGGGTGTCAACTTCAGGTGACTTCCAGCTTCTGATAAACAGAGATAAGAGAATACTTATGAAGTAAAAACATATACATAGGAAATATGGATAATAAACACATCAGTTTTTCTAAGGCAACCTGGCTTCTGTCATACAAAGCTCATTACTAGAAATGATTAGACATGGTGATGTCATTCGTGAGCGGAATAAATTCTGTTATTTGTTCAGATGTACATGAGAATCATTGGGTTACAATGCAATTAGGTGTGAAAGGGTTATAGAAAGTTTTAAAAAAGGAAGCTGTTGCTGACACAGTATTTGAATGTAGCTAGATTTTCTTCTAGTTTTGCCTGGGAGATAAGCAGAGTGTGCTTATTTATGCCATTGCTTTAATTATCTGTATTATTATCTGTATAATGAGCCCCTGTATCGTATGGATCAAATGTGTCAGAATGCCCTTCCAAGAGTGTGAGGATAATTTTGTCATGCACCTGAACTTATTATCTCTGAGATTATTTTATGTCATACATATTTTGCAAGAAAATTTAATTGCACCAAGAAACCTGCTTTAAGGTTTGAAGACCAGTTTAATATCTTTATCGATGATCTGGATGAGGGGATCGATGAAGTGCACCCTTAGTAGTGCACAGATGACACCAAGTTGGGTGGGGGTGTTGACCTGCTGGAGGGCAGGAGGGCTCTGCAGAGGGATCTGGACAAGCTGGATCAATGGGCTGAGGCCAGTTGTATGAAGTTCAACAAGGCCAAGTGCCGGGTCCTGCACTTGGGTCTCAACAGCCCCACACAGCACTACAGGCTTGGGGAAGAGAGGTTTGAAAAGTGGCCCAACATTGGTTGACAACTGCTGAAAATGAGCCAGTGTGTGTGCCCAGGTGTCCAAGAAGGCCAAATGGCATCCTGGTCTGTGACAGAAAGAGTGTGGTCAGCAGGACCAGGGCAGTGATTGTCCCCCTGTACTTGGCACTGGTGAGGCCACACCTTGAGTGCTGTGTCCAGTTCTGGAACCTCACTACAAGAAAGACACTGAGGTGCTGAAGTGAGTCCAGGGAAGGGCAACAGAGCTGGTGAAGGATCTGGGGAGTAAGTTATGTGAGGAGCAGCTGAGGGAGCTGGGGTTGTTTAACCTGGAGAAAAGGAGGCTCAGGGGTGACCTTATTGCTCTCTACAACTACCTGAAAGGAGGTGCAGCCAGGTGGGGGTCGATACCTGGCATGCCATGAGGATGAATGTTGCAGTGTTGGAACAGGCTAGGAGACAAACCATCACTCGCCATGGTCTGCATCTGAGAAATTATGGTATTTAAGGTACTAGTAGAGGAACATCAGCCCTCTGTGTCAAGGACACTCAACTAGATGAAGCAGTTCTTCAGTTCTTGAGAGAGTGACTCTGCTCTTGTTTTAGCTGGCATTGGAGTTGAACTCCTGAAACAAACTTTTCTCTTGCCATTATTTTGTAAAGAGAAAAAAGCTTTTTTCTTTTATTTCAGAACCACTTCCTTGTCAGATGAAATGAGAGTGGAATCTCGCCATATCTTATCACCATTATACTTTTCACTGAGTCTATTATACTTGTTATTTTGAGCTCTCTCTATAAACAATGGGATGTGTTGAGAAGTCAATGATTTGACTTTATTTCTTAGTTTTAGGTAGTTCTGTGAGGAGCAGGGAATTGGGTCCCTTCCAGCTTGAGATATTCTAAAATTCTGTGTTCTTGTTGGGTTCACTCTGTATCCTAGACAAGTGAGAAACACTTGATCATGGATTCTCCACTGT